AGTAATGGAAGAAGAAATTGTGGTTGTTTGGTAGCACTTGTTTTATGAATTTTTCAAGGAGTCAAAGGTGGAATGTCTCAGGTCAGTCTGTGCTTGCAGTGCCTCACAAGACTGGAGTTTCTGATGGCAAGGTGGTCTGCGTTTGTATCACGCAGAATTTTAGCTGGCATCTGGATACAAAGACTAGATGGCCTAACTGCTTTCAATGCTCTGACTAAATAATGTAATGAATATGTCTACATTAGCATTTTAATTCAAAGTGGCAGCGTGCTTTTAAAGTGCACTTGTTCATCATCTCCCCGCTTACTGCACTTTGGTTATCACCATGGAGCAGTCTTGGGCATCCCAGACCGGAATCCTTATTAATAAAATTAAAGCAGGAGACCTGCTCTAAGTGTTAGCGGACAGTCAGTCCGCAGTATCAGAGTAGAGCCTGTCTGAAGTAACCTTTCCTCTCTTCCTGAAACACATATAGTGTGGCCTTCAGGTCCTCAGCACTAACTCTTTCACTCTATAAATCCTCTTCCGTTGCATGACGCAATACACTGTCGTCGATGTTGGCATCTCCACCATTAAATGTGGTATTAGTTTGGCACTGGGATGTCACCAAAGCATGAGGCCATTGCTGACCGCTCAAAAGATAAGGGAAAACAGGTTTAACGCCTTTGTTGGCTGAACTCTGTCAGGGCCACTGGTGCGATGTTACTCTACATAACTGAACGCAGTATGTGCTGCATCTCTAATTCTTGAGCCTGCACTTGAAGATCAGAGGTATTTGCCATTTTATGTTTCTGTTCAGATCCGGATTACTTCACAGTCAAGCAGACTGAAGCAGCACCACATGCCATTTGAAGTCCAGCTGAAGTCCAAAATTGAGCTTGTGCTCCTCCAAATCTAAACTGTCTCAAGACAGAGACTATCTGCTCTTTCCCTTAGACCAACAGCTACCAAACTCGAAATCATGCTTCTGGAAGTGCAACTGCAAATCGTGTTATGAATCCAGACACACCGAAAATCTGAGAACTCCTCTTTTAGATACCATCCTACTCTCTGTTCACATGGAACATGAACAAAATTGATTAATAAAGGAGCTATTAAGCTGCTTCTAAATTCCTTGAAGACAATTCCCTACCTCAGAGGAAATTTCCTGAGGTCAAGGCATATATATTCATTTTGTGTCGCCAGCATATACCAAAGCAGTCAGCTCATTGTATGGACACCAGCCGCTGCATTTTTGCATTTTTCCTCTCTCTTGTGGAATTGATGGTGTTTTTCATAGGGAGTGGAAGTTGCTTTCTAATCTGAAGTTAAAATAATCTTTGCTACCAAAAAAACCCCTGTTGTTTGCATGCAAAAGAATAAATAATTGCATTTTCATGCCATGCGTCCTCGGGTGTACCTCCTTCTCTTAAGAGCATGGTGGGAAAGAAATTGTATTTAGTCCTTTACCCTTATAGCAATTACCTTTTTATTTCCTTGTACTTTGGCACTGGACAGAAGTTATCCTGTACTCTTACACTGATCTTTCTTTTATGAGGATTTCAGAAAAGAGGCAAAGTAACGAAGTTACTAGTAAAGTAACGAAATTACTAGCTAAAGTTAAGTAGCAAAGCTGATAAAGTATTAGAGAAATTTCTGTTGTGTACCCTTCAGCGATAGCTGAAGAAGCTGGCATGCGAGGAAGAGGACCTCTTCTCTCCTGACTTTGTATTTATTTCATTGCCTGCCTTGACAACTTATGGAACGTGATTGCCAACTTTTTTTTCACCAATAATATTTTTACAATAAACTAGAACAGACTCTCTTTCATTTGCGTCTAGATTTTGGCTGTAGTTCAGGAAGGCACTTAGGCATATTTTTGGATCCATTTCTGTTCAGGACAGCACATAAGCACCTGAGCAAAGACAAACACATACTTAAGTGTTGTGAAAAGCATCAGGTAAGCTCAAGACCCTTGTAGTGAATGTACAGTCTCCCTTCACCTTGCAATAAGTACATCCGGAAAGTTAACTCTCCTGTTTTCCTCTTCCCCCTTCCTTTGGAGAAAAGGAATAGATAAAGCTGCTGTCATTGTTGTTGCCTTAAATGGAGAAGGAAAGTGGAGAATGAAAAGACAAAAGACATTGGAGAACTCCATATCAAGTCTTTTCGAGACCCACGATGACGGGCAAGCTGAGATCAGTAAGTTAACAAGGGGGGATAGGTCATTCTTAAGTGGAGGACCAGCCCTACATAATGCTCCTGATTTTTTTCCCACGTGCACTGTCTTGTGTCTGTTCACTGTAATACGCTCTGTGAACAGCAGGCTATGGCATGATGAATTCCTGAGTTTCCATACTTCTGCATTGTTCCTGTCCTTACGTAATATCTAATACCTACAACTTGAATTTTTTACAGAAAGTAAGTCAATATATCTTTAGGTTCATGAAAATGTTGTTCCAAAATACTCTGCATAGGTATAAATCACTCCTACCACAGGAGACACATTGAACAATTTCTGCGTGGTTCATATATTCATATTCAGCGATGCAGAATTAGGTCGGGGTGAATGTGATTAGAAACTTATCATCTTAATGATGAAACATTATCAAAATAAGTTTTTTTAAAAACAACATTTCAAGCTAGCAGATATTGGATATTTTTAATATTTTTGATTTTAGGGGAGCGTGGGGTGGGGAGGGACAAGGGCAAGGGAGGGAAGAAGATTATATATTTATCTCCAGGGAAGATTTTCTTGTGAACAGGACAAAACTGTATTTGAGGCTGGCTAGAGACATCAGTCATTGCAGGGACATGTTTTGAGCGAGGATTCTTTAAATAATACTGGGGAGCATCTGAGTAGGATGAGAACAACTTTGAGGTTAAAAGTAAATTTTCATGGAGTAGCTGGTAGGAACACTGTAATTGCACTTTACTTAACTTAATGAAAAAATCCCATAGAAAACTTGTTAGGATAATTGTTCTAATTTTCCAGCCCTGCAATATGTTGCAGGTGATGATACAGTAATTACTGTGCAAAGAGCACATTAAGAAAGAGCATAACTCACAATGACTTCGTTGTTCCAATTGCTGATTTGAGAATGGAAAACACTCCCGGTACTGTTATAAACAGTGGATACATTGGCAAACTTTGCACAAGAATTTGTCTTTGCTGCTTGCCCACTTTACAGCCCTATAGGAAGAGAAATTGTTTAACTAAGCCATTGTAAAGTGCACCATAATCACCCGTGACAAATATGAAGTATTTCTTTCCTTATTAGGAACCTTATTATCAACTGATGCTTATGGTACCTTGCACTGGCTATATGCAAACATATCAGCTAAATGATTTGCAATGCTGAAAGAACGAGATATTTAAAAATATTTGAAAGAATGTTATCCTGCCATTCTAAGGAAACATTTAGCATTCGGAAAAAAAAAAAAAAAAAAGATGAGACTTATTGGAAGAATTAGAAGAGTTGAGTCAACACGGGTAGTTTAGGTAACAGCACAGTAATATGCAGTTTCTGTGCAGTCTAGAGAATATATTTATGATTGAAGCTGAGTAAGAATTATGCAGTGAAATAGACCAGTGAATTTCATCAGAAAATGGCATGTAGAAAGTGAAAGAAGAAATGGAGCAAATTTTCTCAGATTTAGTGAAGTGTTTAGTTAGCAAGCTAACCACAATTACCCAACAAACTGCAAGGCAGGATAGTGAGGATGTGAAAGATCCAGCAGCAAACGTCTGCCCCATGTGGTGCAGAGAAAGAAGTAGCACCTGAATAGCCATTGACAACTGAAGTGATCTTGTCACTGATCCATTAGAGACTTCTGCTGTTTCTAAGACCTTGAATGTTTTGGATTACTTTTATTTGAAAGCAAATGGGGAAAAAATATAGTTTTGTTTTGCTAAGGTTAAGAAAAATACATGTCCTTACTAGCCTTTTTTTTCAGGTATTTTAATATGTCTTTGAATACAAAACGCATAAAATAATTTCCCGGTTAGCAAGAGTCGATTTTATGGGTACTTTCAGTCTCTCCGTGCGAGTGCTCCACAGACCTGTAGCATCCCTTCTCCTTCCGCGGGGCTGGTATGACACAACCAGGCAGGGTGGGAGCCCCTTGGGGCTGCCTTGCAAGCGTACAGTAAGGCAGGACTCTTAACGAAACAAAAAACAAACAAACAAACAAACCTAACCTCACTAGGATCAAAGCATGACAAGTAAGCATAGCAGATAACAGCAGGCAGTAGGAAAGAGGGATGAAGGTAGAGATAAGATCCTTCAGTTATACTTATCAGCTGTGTGCATAAGTGGACGATGAAGCCACAGTCTATCCACAACCACAGCAACTTGGATAGTTTAGCTGCAAAACCACAGCTTCATCACACGGCACGCCAAATGAGGTCCCACTGGCTGTTGCTAATAGGGGTGCTAATCCTTTTTGGTCCCCAAGCAAATCACCACCTGCACTACATAAGTGTTTAGCTTCACTTATGATATCAAATAGCAATAAATATCATTATCCATCTCCAGCAGGGGCTCTGCCTAACCCCTAGGGGGTTCGCCAATCCCATGCACGTTTTACAGCGTAATCACAGAGCAAAATGAGTCTATCAAAGCATCCATATTTTTTGAACAGCTTATTTCTGTGTATGTTCTGCTACAAATAGAAAATATAAACTACGTTCAGTTCTTACGGAAATAAATGAATAAATAAAAGAAGAAGTAAAACGAAAAAAAAAACCCACCTCATTTAGTAGCACAACATGACAATCATTGAAACCTACCTAGAAAATGAAGCATTGCACCAAAAGCCAGCTTAACTCAGCACTGTTAGTGTGAGAATGTACCTTTTTAGGATTTTGTGCCTCTTTCCATTGTTTTCCTGTATAAATGCACATAAATTGTGCTTATTTTCTCATTTATGCGGATATTTTATGTGCCCTCCTACCTTTCTTAGGATCGCAGATAAGTACTTATTTAACAGTAATTTCAAATTCAGCAGGAAAAAGATTCTGCAGGAGTGCTGGACAGAGCAATCCTGGTGGCAGGTGTCACGATTCTCCGTTTCAAAAATTCCACAGATGCTGGGGTATCACCTCTGATTTCTCCAGCTCCAAAACTGGTCTTGGAGGCCTACAGAAAATTAAATATTCTTAAGCAACAGGTCTGACTAACGTATAATAAACCAAACTATGCAATCAGTGTGTGTGTTTTTCCAGTCGCAATACCCAGGGTTGAGGATCACTTTTTTAGTAACCTGTTTTCAGGAGGTGGTAGTACAGCTTTCTCTGTTTTCCTCCACTGATCTTTTTTTTTTCCTATCATGGTATGAAAACTCATGATCAGAAGTTCCTTTTATTTTTGCAAGTAGAAGAGCAAGCTAAATTGTCTTTACTTTCTTATCATTTTTAATTGTATGGAGAAAATTGTTTTTTCATGTAAATGACTTCCTCATAGACTCATGACTACATTTTTTGGCTACTTATGCTGTTCTTTGCACTAGTAAGTCAATAGTGCAGAATGTTGAATTTGACAAAAAAATCACGCTATGGTTATTTCTTAGAGTAGCCAATGATTGCATCATTAATTGTCAGGTATAGCTGCAAGGTACAGATTGGTTAACTCCGTACTGACCATGTCTGGACTAATGCACACATCAGCTGCAGAATTTATTCAGCCTATTACGATGCTTATTACCTCAAAAAAAATCCTCCCAATTGCTTCATATTCTAACACTGAATTAGCCAATAAATTCCAGTAATTGGTTGAGATGACCTTCTATTGCCTCTAGACAGTCCAAACAGTGTTCAATGACAATATTACATTAGGTTTGCTTTACCGCACCATGTAAAGTGCATAACTGCTTGGGAACACCGCTATTATCCTATGAGTATATGTTTTGTCAGTGTTGCCTCTCATGCCTTTATCCAAAACAGCAAGCAAAAAGATTTCGGTTCTGCCAGCCTTCCAAATAGGAACATGACTTAATGTTCTGCTGTGTTAAAGATTTCTGCCAAAAAGGAAATGTTATTTCTAAGGTTGAGCAAAAACAAAACAGCTCACTCAAACCTGGCTCCACACATTTTCTGAATCGGACCCTAAGACTAGACTTCCTTTCTTTCATTGCAATGTCATTAAAAAAAAAAAAGCAATTGAAAACATGGGTTTATGGTAAAGGCATTTGTACTACCTCAAACGTATAAATGACTGCAGCCACATGATTCAGCAAAACACATGCTTCAGATTAATCAAAAAAAGAGCACCATCCTTGTTTGTTGAAGTATTTAAGCACGTGCTTGAAAATATGCAGATTCTAGAACACTTCACAAAATAAATCTGGGGTTTGTGCTCCACTGCTTTGACAAATGGAGAACGCAATCAAATAAATGAAGTAGGAGACATCTTTTTCCTGCCTCCTCTCCTTTGGGCCCGAGAAGAATACCTGAGATCTTTCTAATATAAATTTCCCACAAGTTTGGGAGAAGTAGGGACGTTGCAAAGTTGAGGGCTGCTGCTGACAAAAACATACCTGCTGTGCTCCAAAATGACCCAAATTGTTGCAAGACAAGAACTGTAAAAAAGGACTTTATACATGCATTACTTAATTTTCATATCATTATATTTGGTTTGGAAATTAAGTAAATGGGGTACATCCATCCAAATTCTTCAAGTTTTTTTCTATCTCATTAGCTCCATAGCCCAGACAAAAGATAAATGCTTGCAATATCGCTATATTTTAAATGTATGCTAGAGACTGGAAATACATTGAACAGATTGTTCAAGACACTGTATTGTTCTTGTTCATTGTCATTAGTGGCTCACGTGTTTTGATTCTTATGAGGTAATGGCGTATAGTAACAAAGGCTATTTTCAAATCTTACTACAGATCTTTTGATCAGCTCATTTCTGTGGGGGATAACCACATCTATTGAGGTAATGCACCAAACATCATTCAGGGAATGACTATCAATTTGAACTAATATCTGTAAAATAATCTATTTTCCAAATGCAAATTGCTTTTTCTACATGCCCTTTTCTTCCTGGCATAACCATCCTGTAACATTCTGCTTTTCTGGTGCGTAATTCCTTGACACTGCAGAGTATCAACTGAGAATTTCACCAGCTGCTGGCTGTTGTTCCCTTTTTGGTCCATGACAATTTTCTTTTATACACTCTGGCAAATATATATTTTACTTCTGTAAACACTCATAAAGGGAAAGTACATAGATTATAATCAGGATCTCTCCCACCTCGAATACAAAATGGTGTTTGCTATAATTTGTAGGAAGTGCGTCTTTTCTGCCACGCATCAGATATAACAGAACTTCATTTGACTCCGTCATCTTCCAAAAACCCATCTGATCTGACAGTGGGTCTTGCTTTTTTATTTGCACCGCAGAAAATACATTGAAGAGTCTCTTGTTCATGTTAGCACTTCTTCTGTTCTCCTTCATTAATTCAAATGCATTTCAAACTCTAACCTTTCTGCGATTTTTTGTGTGAACACTCTACCTAGTCCAGAAAGGACTCGGTTCTGCTCAGGCAGAAGTAACACGACACCAACAGCTAGACTTTATTTGGATCTGGGTGAGGACACTAGAATTAGGTGGGGATAGGAGCTGAAGACAAGATTCAGGGCCTCTGGGTTTAAACACAAACACATTAACAATACCCCTCCGATCCTCTGCAGTAGCGGTTAAAGCGTTGGCTAGCGCTTCTCACTATACTTGTAAAGTCGATACGTGTGAAGCGGAGTCGCAGCCTCTATTTCATCTCCAAGATATCAACTAATGGAAGTATATATTGCAGTACTCTCAGAGGACATTTCTTCTGATACTGAAGTGTGGACTATCCTAGCTATGGAGAAGACATTTTCCCTAAGGAAATCAGGCATTTGATGCACAGAACTTCCCTCCTCCCCCTCCCCACACACACAATACTTCACGTGACTGTGTGATTTATTAAAGCTCCGCTATCAGGGAAAAGTGAGTACCTGAACATATTGGATGCTATTTAAAAAATGCCAAGCCCACATCGTTGCCTACAAGATCTTAGAAACACAACCTAAATATACCTTAACTCGAAAAAGAGAAAATAACAAAAAAGTCAATAACAGTATTGTAAGAATTACTATCATTATCACTGTCTTAAGGGTTTGAAGACAAATGCTTCATTTTCTGATGCTTATTTCAGTTCTAACGTCTAGACTGGGAATGCTGTGCCTGTAGCGCCCTACGTCGTACAGATAACGATAGCAGCCAAGATGCTACAGCATAAACTGAAATATGCGTAGAACTGGGGGTAGCTAGGCTGCTAATCCCTGGACAAACTCATGGCTCCACATCTCAATTGCTGTTGTATCCCTCCTGGATATGCACGTTCAGTGTCTAGCTATGTCTAGTGAGCTCATGTGTGCTTACAGGTCCTGCATATTCTGGAAGGAGTGGGGAAATACCATTGGTCTCTTCACAGAGGTTACCCCATCTCAGAAAACTGGGGCTTTAATGATAGCCGTAGCCTGAAAAATAAAAACACCCTTCACTCTACTGCCAAAGGATACTGCCAAATGAGTATGCAATCATTGCTAGTGCTGGATTCCTTTGATTTAATTTTGAGCGAAAAATTAAAGAAATCTACAGTACCTGTTAAGTCCCTGTAAGTGAAATGCTGGGGAATCCTAAAAACAAACTCCTCTGCAAGAAAAGAAAAAGTCAGTGGGTATAATTTTATTCAAGTGAATCATATCTTTGCTAAAGCAAAAATGTATGGGTCAAAACGCATGTACGAAATAAAATTCTAAATACAGAATACTTGTTTCTATAGTGAGCAAGCACAGGACTTATTTAGATGCTCAGCTCACTTTATGGAAGCACTCAAACAGTAACCAGAAATGAATCCTAGGAATATGTGCACGCTGGTTTCAAAGCAAAATCTGAACTCTAGACGTGGATGGCAATTAGGCATTCCCGATGTTTTCCAGCTTCGTATGCAAATTTGACATTCAAATTAGACTTCTAAAAAGATCTCACTCATGCAAAAACACTAATAACTTAAGCAGTCCAGAGTTTAAGCCTTTTTGCTTTAACTTTAATTGCTTTGTCATAATTTCAGTTAAGGGCATGTTAGCAGGTTATCAGTTTGCTCCTCCCAGCTGTTTTGGAAGTCAAGTGCAGTTTCCCCTGACAAGACATGAAGTGGATGGAAATTTTAGGTGGGGAATTTACAGCGGAGTGGCATGCAGAGAATTCATTATAGCCGGGAGCAGGGTGCTTTAGGAAGGTGATAATATTGTTTGCATAATACGTTTGCAAGTTGCAAACTAAGGGTAACTGCTGAAC